TGTTTGTGTGTATGTGCGTGCGCGTGAGTTTATTGATTGACGTTTATTTATTAATAATATATATTAGACTTAACATTAAATTGATTGTTTTTTGGCAACAGTTTGATACACGTCGAAAGGTAGATTCTCAGATTTCTCAGACTGTGTATACTTTCTTAAAACATTGTGCCATATAAATTAAAATTATTATTATTATTGTTGTTGTTATTATTATTACACGAGTTAGTGTCAATTAAATCAAACGTTATTAATCAACCTGTGAACCGAAGCAGAGCCAAAATGATGACGACCGTAATAAAAAGCGTACACTTGTTACAACTTAACATACCGCCACTGATTGTACATTTCACTAGCTATTGTTGTAATACGGCCATATGTAACACTACTACTTTATCTATAGGCTATACTACTAACACAACATCAATAACAATCTCTATACTATACTTTAGTTACAATGAAAATACTAAGTACTTATGTTATATTAGCAATTATATTAGTTGTGCTATATGTGGAAGATGTAGTTTTATATAGTTACTACTTAACTTGTAACATGTCATAAGGGGTGTTTAATTTTTAATTTTTTTATTTTTTATTTATTTTTTAATTTTTTATTTTTTAATTGTTTATATTATATAATATATATATATAATAAAAAAATGTATATATATATATATATTTATAATATTACACTATTTATAGTACCAAATATAACAATAAAATAAATTTAATTTAGATAAATGATTGTAAAGCAATTGTTCACTTAACAAATTTGAATCAATTCTAAGAAAAAAAAAACTTTATTGTTGACATAAAGAGAATAACATTGCATTTTAAAAATTCAAAATATCGTGACGTCAACCCGACGAAAAGTGAATTTAAATCAATTCAGTGATGTTCATGCAGTTTTTTTTTTTGCCTCTATTTTTACAAGGGAAAAGAGATTGTGGTCAACAATGAGTAACACCCGTGAGGCCCTTCTATCACTTGTTGAATATCACCACATTTCAACTACTACAAAGCGTTAAAGATCGGGTTTTGTGGGGGTCGATGGTCGCCAATTTCCTGAAAGGATAATGAACTAGAAAGAAGAAGATTCTTACAAATACCAACACACGCACATGTGTATATGTGTATATTATATATATATATATATATATATATATATATATATATATATTAAAAAGAAATATAAAAAAGTTGAACAATGTTGAAAGTAGTGTTGAATTTTGGAAATGTTGCGTTAGCAACAGTCTGTTACCAAAAAAAAAATATATATATATATATATATATATATTTATATATATATTATATAGTTTATGTGATATAGTTTATGTATATATAGTTATATATATATATATCTTTATTTATTATTGTATACTTATAGTTACTATAATATATGGATTTATACGTGTATATATATATATATCACAAAATTTTTGAAAAATTCCATAGGCATTTTGAGTCAAATCAAGGTAAAAAATAACTACTAGTGTAATGATTTTGATATTAACATTGCTATTACTAATAATAATAATAATAAATAGTAATAATAATTATAATAGATAATATTAATAATAAATAACAATAATAATAAATAGTAATAATAATAAATCATACAATTCAGTTATTAATTTATCGTACCTAAAATTTGTGAAAAGGTTCTCATAACAGTGACTTCTATAAATTATTTGTCGAAGATAACAAAATGTGCCCATAATAACAAAAAAAATAATTAATAACATTAATAATAATAATAATTATTATTATTATTGAAAATAATAATAATAATAATAATGGATTTATTAACAATACTTACTGCGTTTCAAGTCTGTCCGATTGCTCTAATGATTCTACCATCATCTAAGGCTGTCGTCCATATTGGTATTGTTATTATTATTCATTATTATTTATTATTATTATTTATTATTACTACTATTCATTAATATCATTATTTATGTATTATTATTATTTAATATAGCCGACTAAATAGCACGATTTTTTAGCTGGCAAGTGCCATTTTTAAAATGAAATTTTCATTTTTAAAAATATCATTTTTCTAGTCATTTTTCTATGACCTGGCACGCCGATTCATTTAAAAAACTTCAAAAATCTACTCCATCTTCTAATTATCAAATTTTTTTAACTTTTAAAAGGCAGTTTTATCTAATAAAATTGAAATATTTGAGCTATCATTCTCGCTGAGTTAAGTTTATTTGTTGGCAATGAGTTTATGGAAGACTGTACTTTTTATTTTGAAAAAAAGTAAAGGCTTTCGCTTCTTTGCTGTCCAGGGCCTCCTAACCTCTGCCAAATTCGGTCCTGGACATAAACATTCATCCCAACTTGCTTCAAATTCGACGATCCAAACAATTTCTTTGCATTGTTACGGATGAAATAAGATTTTGGTCTGGTTTCTATTGGGCAACATTTGAAAAAATACAACTGCATCTATATTGGTATAAGGTATAAGGTATTGGTGATACAATTTTTGAGACTTATCAACAACAATGGTACATGAACCTGATGTACCTACTCGCGCGTGTGTGTTCGTGTGTGTGCGTGTGCATGTGTGTGTGTACGTGTGTGTGTTTGAGAATTATGATTCACGCACTGAAGTGCCATAGTTCTTGGCAGCACCATTTACTGATTTATATGCTCTAGATTTAAATGCTCTCCGTATGCTACTGCCTGATGGAGAGAGGAAATAAAAGCAAAAAATGAATGAAAAAGAGATAGAAAAATGGAGAGAAAGAGGAAGAAATAGTGAGTTGAAAGAGAGAGAGAGAAAAAAAAAGAAAGAGAGAGAGAGTAAGAGAAAGTAAGAGAGATTTGAAATGAATTAAAAAAGAAATGACTGTGATCGAAAAATGAATGTAATGTTGAATAAGCGAGCAGCTACAGTAAGTGAACAAGTCAATAAATGAGTGGATGAATGAATGAATGAACGAACGAATGAACGAACGAATGAATGAATGAGCAAATAAACAAACAGATGACTGAATAAATGAACGAACGAACGAACGAAAGAAGGGATGAAAGAACGAAATCTTATAAAACAAAACGAGATATGAAATATTAAAATGACGATTCTTTCTCATTCCGTGAACGAACCGCAACATTGAAGTCATGGGATTTGTCAACTAAAACTGTTGTTGATGTTGTTGTTGTTGACGATAAGGCTGTTGTCATTATGTTGCTATTTTCATGTTATTAATATATGTATTGTGTTTTTTTTTCCTCATAATCGTTCTTGCGGTTACGGACAATTTTCTCAATAATTATAAGAACAACATCAACAACAACAATAATAACAATAATAATAACAACAATAATGTAGCTCAAAGTCATTTAACGGAGAAAAATCAAAAAGCGCGTGCACTTTCTCAGCTCAGACGCACTTTTAAACGGAGAACTGGGAATTTGTCGGCACGCAACACCAGACTTAGGAACAATACACACACGTACACATACACATACACACGCATACATACACACGCACACATACACACGCACACATACACACGCACATACGCACACGCATTATATATTAATGAACGGCAATAGATATTTTATTACTACAACTTTGAAACATTTGTACTCAACAAGAATTTACTGGTACTTTGTATTACTTGAAATACACACACACATACACACGCACATACATACATACATACACATATACACACGGACACACATACACACGCACATACATACACACGAACACACACATACACACACAAACAACACATACATACACACATACATACGTACATTCGTCTTCATTCATTCACTTCATTCCCTTATTCAGTCATTCATTCATTCACCAATTCATTTAGTCAGACATTCATTCACCAATTCATTCATTCATAACATACATACATACATACACACATACATACATACATGCGGCACCATTACGTCACATTGATAAATCACGTAAAGAAAAAGTAGAGATGGGAGGTATGAAAATTTGTGTCCTGGCGTAAAGTAACGCCGATGTTCCTCTTGCTATAAGGTCGTCTTCATTCATTCACTTCATTCCCTTATTCAGTCATTCATTCATTCACCAATTCATCTAGTCAGACATTCATTCATCAATTCATTCATTCATCTTCATCTGAACATTCACTCATTCACTCACTCGTACATTAATTCACCTACCAATTCATTTAATAATTCACTCATTCATTCGTTTATTCAAAGACTTAAATATTCATTCATTCATTCATTCACTCATTCATTCATTTTTTCGTTCGTTCGTTCGTTCATTCATTCATTCGTTCGTTCATTGGACGACTTCCGTTCCAATATATCTGTGGATAACTTTTCATTTGTGATCTCGACCATTAGTGCACTGTCTTGGGATAAATATACAGGCTGTCTTTACAACTTAGATGTGATGATGATGATGATGATGGTGATGATGACGATGATGCTGATGATTGTGATGATGACGACGACGATGATGATGATGAGGAAGATGATGATGATGACGATGATGATTGTGACAACTGTAGTAACAATTAGAACCATTTCATTTAACAACATAATGAGTGATGATATCAACGCTATTTCATCATCATCTATATCATCATCATCATCATTATCTACATCATCATCATCATCTAGATCTTCATCATCATCATAATCTACATCTTCATCATCATCATCATCTACATCTTCATCATCATCATCATCGCAACCGCCACTAGATTACAACCCCCGCTTCGACAGCCATGAGGACCACGTGACCGTCATGGAAGGCCAGGACGCCATCTTGCCCTGCACCGTTAAGAATCTAGGCAAGTTGAAGGTCGCCTAAGTTAATTTGCATATTAATTATTATCAATTTGCACATTAATTATTACTAATTAACATATTAATTATTATTATGTTACTTTTAGTAATCTGTAAGTAATTACTAAATGACACTAAATTATGGTAGCAGAAACAACGCAACACTCACATACGCAACGCACACACACAAACAAACACAAACACATTCCAAAACAACTTCCACACGCGCACACACACACGCACGCACACACACCAGGTTATATGGCAAGACTCAAACTTTGTGCCGCTGACGTACAGCGACAGGCGAGTCGTCGACGATTGGCGCTACTCCATCGAACGTGGCTCCCTTGAGGATTGGAACCTGGGGATAAAGAACACCAGGTGGTCAGACAGTGGCAGGTACGTCTGTGCAGTCAACTCGAAGCCGATCCGATCGAAGGCCGTTTTGCTCGTTGTTAAAGGTCGGTTTCGTCCGGATGGTTTATAAAAAATATCGACTGTACAACTTGAAACGCGTCACATACGCACATGCACTCCACACGCACACACAAGCCTCAGTTATCACATACGCTCAAACACACTCACACAATCGCAAATTACACACACACACACACTCTCTCTCTCTCTCGGTTTTTTGGCTGTTTAAATTCTTAAACAAACGTCTCTTACAATATCAATTGTATACTTTGAAACGCTCCTCGAACACCGCAAACACACACACACAACACACAACAACAACAAACACACACACACTTCACAGACACACCTCATACGTGCACGCACACACACACACACATACGTGCACCTCATACACACAGTGTCGGCGAGTATTATAAACTCCTCAACCAAAACGAACCAAACTCACAAAGAAGGTTCCGATGTCACACTTGTCTGCAAAACTGCCGGAAATCCCAAACCTCACGTGACCTGGAAAAGACTTCCGGCAGAAAGTTACGACCTGTTTCCGGCTCCTCTAGATAATAGTGGTTGCACATTTATTGGGGCAAATCCACTAGCCAATGAAAGTTCAGTCGGTAAGTCAATGAAAATTAACCTATTCACAAATTCTTAGTATTTACTGATAGAATTAAAAATATATGGCGTAAACAAGATGGCAGCATAATAGGGATGGGCGAAGTGCTGACGATAATAAATATTTCGAGAAACTGTGGTGGGGTGTACGAGTGTAGAGCCAGCAATGAAATTCCGCCTCCTGTTGACAAATTATTTAACATTGCAGTGGAATGTGAGTTCCTCTTTTAACTGGTTATCTCTTCATCTTGTAACTCATTTGTTCTTTCATTCGTTCGTTCGTTTTTTCTTGGTTCATTCGTTCGTTCGTTTTTTCTTCGTTCATTCGTTCTCTTGTTTGTTCGTTTATTCTTTCATTCGTTCGTTCGTTTTTCACTCATTCATTCATTCATTCATTTTTTATTTTTCATTTGTTTTGTTTGCTAACGAAGTGCCTGTTGAGTTGTTTAATGTTTTAGCTACAATCCATTAGATAAATAGACGAACGAATCAATGAACGAAAAAATGAATGAATGGATGAGTGAATGAATGAATGAATGAATGAATGAATGAATGAATGAATGAATGAATGAATGAATGAATGAATGAATGAATGAATGAATGAATGAATGAATGAATGAATGAATGAATGAATGAATGAATGAATGAATGAATGAATGAATGAATGAATGAATGAATGAATGAATGAATGAATGAATGAATGAATGAATGAATGAATGAATGAATGAATGAATGAATGAATGAATGAATGAATGAATGAATGAATGAATGAATGAATGAATGAATGAATGAATGAATGAATGAATGAATGAATGAATGAATGAATGAATGAATGAATGAATGAATGAATGAATGAATGAATGAATGAATGAATGAATGAATGAATGAATGAATGAATGGATGAATGAATGAATGGATGAATGAATGGATGAACTACAAACGAACAGCTGAATGAACAAACTGAGAATCTGTAAATACAAACACAACATAACATCTCATTAAAATCAAAACATATGTTTGAAACACTGCTAATGATCTCGTTCTTTGTTCCACACCTACATACACACACACATACACACACACGTACATACACACACACATACCTACACGCACATGTTTGCATACACGCACATACATACTCACAAATTCCTTCATACATACAAATAAAACAAATTAGCTATTGCAATAAACATAAATTTAAAAAAAATTGAAGATAAAATAATAATCAACCATCAATCAATCAATTTGTTAAACTTCCAATCAACCAACCAACCAATCAATCAATCAACTAACTAATCAACCAACCAATTAACCAACCATCCATGCAATCAGTTGCACCGGAAGTTACGATACCGAGTCGTCGAATCTCTCAGTCAGTCGGTAAAGAAACGATTCTTCAATGTTACATCACTGCCTACCCGCACGCCGTGACATTCTGGGAAAAGGAGGGAGCGGTGCTAAGGAATTCCCCTAATTATCAAACCGATGCTTATCCAGATAGTGTGACGTTTAGTTTGACCCTGAGTTTGAGGATTTTAATTAGGGAAAAGTCTGACTTTGGTACGTATGAGTGTGTGGCGGCCAATAGTTTAGGCAGCGATCGTGGGGCTGTGGTTTTGGAAGGTTTGTTTGTTTGTTTGTTTGTCTGTTTGTTTGTTTGTTGTCCTTTGTTCATTTGTTTGTTTGTTTGTTGTCTTTTGTTTGTTTGTTGTCGTTTGTTTGTTGTCGTTTGTTTGTTTGTTCGTTCGTTCGTTCATCTGTTGATGATGATGATGATGATGACGGTGTTGATGGTGACGTCATCATGTTTAGAATACGGACCGCAGTACTACCCAGAAAAATCTGTATATGTTGCCAGTCGTAATGACAACGTCGTCATCCAACAAAAACAGCAACAGCACTATGACGTAAGCAATAAAAAGAACAACAACAACAATAATAATAAAAATAATGTAAATAATAATAATAATAATAACAAAGATGATATACACCTCCATTCAATCAACAAACTTGAAATCAACGAAAGTAACGCTAGTAACGCCAGCAAACTGACCAAGAACAGCAAATTAGGGATGACGTCACCAAGGAATCAGACTCTAAATAGGGATGCTACGTACAAGAAACTGACGGCCAGCGTTGTACCAACTCTTAAAAAAGACTTTCTCTATAATAATAATAATCATAATAGTAAATATGATCTCGGTTGTTTTATTTGTTTAAAAAAAGTTAATATCGATAATCTATTTAGAAGTGGAAGTAGCAGTAGCAGCAGTAAAAGCAGTAGTAGTAGTAGTAGATGTAGTAGTGGTAGTAGTAGTAGTAGTAGTAGTAGTGGTAGTAGTAGTGGTAGTGGTAGTAGTAGTAGTAGTAGATGTTGTTGTATTAATAGTAGTAGTAGTAACAGTAGTAGTAGTAGTGGTAGTAGTAGTAGTAGTAGTAGTAGTGGTAGTGGTAGTAGTAGTAGTAGTAGATGTTGTTGTATTAATAGTAGTAGTAGTAACAGTAGTAGTAGTAGTAAGAGTAGTAGTAGTGACAGTGGTAGAAGCCGTAAAAGCAGCGGCGGCAATACCAGCAGCATAATAATAACAATAATAATTATTATTATTAATTTAATCATTTTGAAATTTGAATTACAGATAATAGCAAGAGAAATGACATTCAACCAAACGTTTCTAGCGGTCAGAACACGGCCAAAAACGCTTTAAAAATGTCAATCCTAAACATATTAATACTTATTTCTTATTATTATTACTATTATTTTGTTTAATTTATGTCAAAATGGTTATCTGTTAATTAGAACAATATGTCATTAATCTTGGATTTCATATGTATATGTGTGTGAGTTTCTATGTATGAACACGTTTTGACCAACTAGACAAACTTTTATCTATGACCCTGGTCTTGAACTGGCTGGTACTGTATGTGTTTATATGTATATGGTGTATATATGTGTGTGTGTGTGTGTCTGTGTGTTTGTTTGCGTGTGCATGTTTGTTAACGAACAACATAACAATGTAATAATAACCATATAATTTTATTCTTTTACTCCATTTTAAAATGTATTGTGTTATTAACATTAACAGTTTACTGACATCTATAAATATATATATATATATACTACTATATAATATATATGTGTGTGTGTGTTTGTGTGTATATATATATATATATATATATATATATATATATATAACATTCAATCAAACGTTGCTAACTTATATACATATATATATATAAATGTTTATATATATATATATAGTGTTAAGCTATACATAAACAACTTGTAATTAAATCATTTAAACTAGAATTCCCTTTTAAATACACAACCTGTTTGTTTACAACTTTTCTAATTTTAGCGGTTGATTCAAATTAAGACAAATTAATAATAAAATAACTGAAATAGAATATTAAATAAGTAATTAAATTTTAATTTTGTTAACTTATCATTTGATTTCATGTTTTGATTGTATTGGATTTAGAAAAAATGGATTTGAAATATAAAGAAGTTTGTTATTGATTTTCAAAAATTTAATTAATTATTAATTAAATATAAATTTATTCAAAATTATGAAGTTTTAAAATTTAAATTATTAGTTTGAATAAATTTTATTTTTTAAATTCTCTTCCGCTAAATCTTAATCTAATTCTAATTTTTTTTCTGTTTATTATTATTTGAAAATAAATAAATAAAAATAAATGGACACTAGGTGGCAGATTGGCTGAATGAAATTTTCAATGGCAGGCAGTTTGAAGCATTTGAAAAAAATGACTACACCATCAATTACCTTCACGATCTGATGGTCAGAAACAAGATGGCTGACGAGAATATGCAAGCTGTCATCGAGTTTCACCATAATAATATCTCTTTTTATCAAAATGAAAGTGTGTATGTATGCGTTTGTGTGTGTGTGTGTGTGTGTGTGTGTGTTAGTATGTTTGTGGTTTTATGCTAGTACTACTGATATTTAATTAATTATATCAGCAAGGCTTTTTTAAATAGTAGTAGTAGTACCAGCCGTAATAGTAGTAGTAATAGTAGTAGTAGTGGCAGTATTAGTAGTAGTATTATTTTTTGAAAAATTCTTTTTCAACAGAAAAACGTTTAGAGAATATTCTAGAGAGAATTAATATACAAGAGCCAGATTTGCAGCAAGAAACGTTACGTAAGTTGGCAACGTTATCATCCGTGGCCAACATCCTTAACGTTGAAAATCCTGATAACAGCAGGCAAGAATGATGATGGTGATGATGACGACGACTAAGAGGATGATGATAATTCTGATGCAACTTTGATAGTATTGGGGGGGCTAGTATGACGATGACGATGATAAAAACTGATGATGATAAAGTCTTGTTATTCTATACGATGATGACGTCACATAAGTTG